ATATGTGCAGTTGCTTTTGCAAGGTTTTTCTTCCCTTATGAATGGAAATTGCACAAGCTGAAGCAACCTCTGAATTTATAGTGGGCTTTCTGCATCAAGGAGTGCTAGCAACTTGAGGGAGGTTGATCTTAATGAAAACCGTAACACTAAAAATCTCTATTTAAAATTGCGCAACAAAAGGCGTGCCTTGAGGCGCGCCTCTGCGCAATTCTTCCCAAAGGCGCCTCGAGGCGCACGTAATTTGGAGCCTGGAAGAGGCGTACGCCTTTCCTTGTGTGAGGCGCGCCTCAATTGCGCAATTGCGCAATTCTGGGTGAGGCGTATGCCTCATCCAAATGGCCTCACCTACTTAAAATGAGCCTTTTTTCCCTACACCCGTTCGGCCTAGGCATTTCCCGAAAATCCCCTCCCGCAAGCTCCAGTTCGCGAAACAGGGGATCCCGCACGGTCAGCCTCCAGTCCCGCCGCCTCTCCCGCCTGCGCCGCTTCTCTCCGGCGAACTTGAAGCGTCCGGCCGTGATGTAGACAAAGGGGGGGTCAACCCAAGTCCAAAATAAATCAAATTTTGGCTTCCTTTGAGTCTAGTAGTTCAAATAAATTTGAGCTGAACTTTTAGCTCATTTATGAGCTGGCTTTAAGGAACGCACTAGAACATATTTGAGGCAAGCTGGAACCTTTGGTGAGGTGTTTTAGTTCATTTATTGAACTAAGGGTTAGCTCATTATTAGCTAACATTTTAGTTCTTTTACTATCCTATATTAAATGTTCTTTTTATGTTTTTCATTATGTAAGTCTATTGGAATTCCAAACCGGCCTTTGGAATTCCAAGAATTGTCTTTTCCCATGAGGTGACTCCTTGGTTTCCTCATGGGCTTTTTGTTTTTTTGTGTTTGCCTCTTGGAACTCCGGCCGGCAGCTGGTTTTCTCGTGCCTGGGCTCTTCTCCCGTGGCCGTGGCTCCTTGGTTCCGTGCGGCTGCTTCGTCTCCCGTGGCTGCCTCTTCGGTTCCGGGTTTTAGTGATTTCCGTGAGCTTGGGGGGAGGATTTCTATGCTTTTAATGCTTAATTTATTGTGTCAAAATTAATGTAATGTGTTTCTTTGTATTCCCTTTCATACCTATAAATATGGAGGATTGTTATGTATTGTTTTAGTGAGTGAATGAATGTTATTTTTGGAAGCTTTAACCTGCAGGTTTGCTTTGGAAATCCTGCGGGCTCTTTCCACCCTTCTTTCTCATCCCCTCCGGAAATCCTGCGGGCTCTTTCCACCCTTCTTCTCGGGCTTCTAACCTCTTCGTCTCTCCGCAAGTGCCACTCCATCTGTATCCTTCTTCTCCAAGTACAACAACTTTAGGGTGTCGTCATTTTATTTGCAAGAGTCTTTCGTATTGTTGTAAGTTTTCTTTTGTTTAGTTTAAATTGAAATGTAAGAGTTTGTTCTCTTTGCAAACTTCTTGTCTGTCGTCGCTTCTTTTTGTGTTTTAGTGTCGTGGTAGTAGGTATAGTAATCGTTGGATCAAAAAATATAGGGTCCTCTATATTTTTTGATCTGCATCAGGCCGCCTTCTAGAAGAAGTCCAAAATCGATTTTAGGTATTTTTATTTAGTTTTTGGTTAGATTTTTCAAGTTAAAGAAAATCTAGGGTTTTTGATTTTTTGAATTATTTTGTTTCATTTTGGATTTTTGTATTAGGGAACATGGTTAGAGGCAAGGAGAAGGGGAATACGTCATTGCGGAGGGACTCTTCTTGGAAATATAGTGTACAAGTTGACATAGGCGGCGGAGAGAAGAGTTATGTTTATTTGAAATGCAGTTTTTGCGAAAAAGTGGTGAAGGGAGAAGTTACCCACATGAAGGAGCACTTATCATGCTCTCATAAAAACGTAGCACTGTGTGCAAATGTGCCGGAGAAGCTGAAGGATGAAATTATTGCTTATATGAAGAAAAATACGACGGCAAAACACTTACAACAGGAGCAATTTGATGATAGGGTCGAAGATGGTGCTTACTTCGGGAGCGAGAGTATAGAGGACAAGTACAAATGATACCTGCGACTGGTACTAGAGAGGGTCGACGTCAGGTTTGCATGGATATTGACAGGTTTTTTTTTTTGAAAATGCCATACCATTTAATGTTGCTACGTCGCCTGCCTACTTCAATATGTTGCGGTTTGTAGGGTTGTATGGGAGAGGGTTGAAGTCACCTTCCATATATGAGTTGCGAACATGAATTTTAAAGGAGGAGATGCAGAACATAAAGCGGAGCATTGATGAGATTAAGAGGACATGGATTGAGACTGGTGTTATCATTATGTCAGATGGATGATCTGACATGAAGAGCAGGAGCTTGATTAACATCCTTATCAACAATCCCTACGGTACGGTATTTTTACGATCAGTTGAAGCTTCAGATGAGGTTAAAAATGCTACATTCATTTTCAATTTACTTGATGGGGTTATTGAGAAGATTGAGGAGCAATTTGTTGTTCAAGTAGTGACTGATAATGCCAGTGCATACAAAGCAGCTGGTCAGATGTTGATGGAGAAGATGACACACCTATATTGGACCCCATGCGCAGCACATTGTATCGATCTCATTTTGGAGGATCTTAGTGACTTACCTTAGCACAAGAGTGCTCTTTATAGGGCGAAGAAGATTACTCGCCCTCCGGGAATATAATCTCAAATTTCTCATAAAATGTCACTTCAAATATAAAATTTTCTCCTAAAATATAAAGTCCAATATAGGATAGACTGAGGTTGTCTCTGGGCTTCTCAGAATCCGGCACCTCCTATTTTTCCTCCTTTGACTCGATAATAAATGTTCAATATTGAGCTTTCTCCTTTAAAAATCTTTACTTCTATTTTCTTGTCTTTTACTTTGTAGTCAAAGGGTATGAAATCACAGCTTTAATTGATAATTTTTTTAGGAGCATCCCTCATAGGATGTAATTAATTATAGGGGCTTGCTCCTATAGGGATTTGAGAATTCCAGAATCCAGAATAAAATAAACCTTGTTTTATTCATATAAAACAATGAAAGAATCTTTGGGAACGCAGATGTCTTTAAAAATTTCATTTCTAATCTTAAATATGCTTGTAAGATGTTATTATTGTCTTTTCAAACAATCTAATTTCTTACTTGTTATATTCAACTTTAGAAATGATGAATTTTATAAAAGTCATTTTTGCTTTTGAATGTCTTGAAGAATGTTATGTTCGTCTTTCAAGATGATATAATATTCTTCTTGCTATATCTAAATAAAAGAATGAATAAACTTTTTTTAAAAAATTTATTTCTATTTTTTAAACATATTCTTTAGAATTTCATGTTTACCATCTTTCTGCTTCCCCATTAAAAACATA